ATTACAACAATAGAAAGTAGACTTTATTATTTGGTTTGGGAAAGCAGTATACTTTTATTCTTAAGATTTAACAAGTATTTTAGATAAGGATAACCATGTGTCAGAGATTATTCTAAGTGCTTTAAAATATTCAGCTTCAAAGCATCCATTTGAAGTAGGTACCTCTTTTTTACTTTAGACCTGGGAAACTGAGGCACAGAGTGCTTCAACAACTTGTGCAAAGTCATATAAGTAGTAAGCGATAATTCTGATATTCTAACCCGGAACTGAGTTCTAGATTCAGGACCCTGAATCACAATGCTTTATTCTTCTCAAATCAACTATCGCTGATTTCATTAGAAAAAGTCAGCCTTAGCTGTTCTAAGAAATATCATACTGGACTGATTAAATGGCTTTGCTTAAGGAGGAAACTCTTAATCTTTGCACTGTGTTCGACTTTGCAGTAAGAGATTAATGGCCAAGTCAAACATGTTTCATTTCAATTAGTGAGACCTTTGTAGACACTAACAATTTTTTTACACATGGGTGTGGTTGGCTGCTTGAAGTTTTTTCAACTTGTGGCTCAGGTCTGCAATGTCTGGGAGTAGACTTACCCTAGAAGATTAAATGTGTACTAGTACTGACCTTAGGCACTCAAACAGTACATAGCTGGGTCACAGAATGTGGCTTATATCTTGGACATGCTAATGTTATAACAGAAAGACAAAGTAGTGAGACTCATTTCTGAGGATCAGTTGCAACCCTGTTCTAACTCATATACAAAGGAAGTAAATCTGTAATAAAGAAATAAAAAGAAGAAACAGATACAGAAAAAAGTAAAGAATAATTCCCAGGTCTTGGATTCTATTTGAAAGAAAATGAACTGAAAGGAGCACCTGAGCCAAGGCTTCTTTGGGAGGAGGTGGTGCTGGGCTGCCTCAAACGATGGAGAGGGAAAGAAAGGGAGAGAGAGGGAGAGAAAAAGTGGGGGAGAGTTGGTGGGGTTGTGGGCAGGCAATGGGATGCCAACTGAGAAGGGGAGGAGCAGGGGCTAGCAACAAATTAGGTTTTGCTTCTCCAGAGGGGGTAGGTTTCATTTTTCTGAGTGGCTCATTTCTGTAAACAGGAACCATTTTAGGAACAGGAGTCATTTTAGAATGTTAGGACCATTGGGGCCATTTTGTCTGGTAGAGAACTCTTACTATTCAGTTACCACTGTTCCCAAATGGGGTTTGAACCACTGACAATGCCATCCACAAAGGATGGGCAAGGCAGTGACAATATAATTTGGAAAGAAATTGGCAAAAAAGATTTTTTTTTCCTTTCACAATGATGACTAGAAAATTTGTATCAGATATATATGAAGAAAGATGTAAGAGTTAAGCAACACCAGGGCAATATCAGTGAACAAGGTCTAGAAGGGACAACTGAAAAAAGTAAAGTCAATGATCAGAACACACAGTACTTTTGCTTTATTTATTTATTTAGGTTTTTTTGAGACAGGGTCTCACTATGTAGTTGAGACTGATCTGGAACTCACTATGTAGCCTAGGCTGGTCTCAAACTTGCACCAATCCTCCTGCCTCAGCCTCCCAAGTGCTGGAATTACAGGCATGTGCCACCACGCCTGGCTCACCCAAAACTTTTGAAGAGCCATAAACATAGCAGCTCCATTTTGCTCCACTTAGATTAAGTCTGGAGAATGTCTGAGGATCAGATTATTCACCTCTGAGTGAAACAACCTATTTCACAGATCTCTGAAACAAACACCCCAAACAGATACCGAGTTTCTCTATTTAGAGATGTGGGACCTGTCTGTACTTGCCCAGACTGTGAGTTTATGTATTAGTGGAAATGTCAGAAATTTGACTCGTCATTTGTGCTTTTACTAAGTCTTTAAAAATAGTTTTAAGGCAGACCAAATGCTGAATACCGTAAGTGGGTGCAGGGCAAGGTAGAGATCATCAAATAAACTGCAGAGAATAACTGCCCAAACTAGAATTTAGCTTACTTGAGGAAAGTTGTCTAAAACTGTATGCTGTGACAGTAAATATTTCTGATGCATTCTAGATATCTTCACTGTAACTGCAAAGAGGACTGCACTCCTTTCAATGTGGTTAAATACTTTTCATGCACAATAGCTTCTTTTAAATCGTCAGGGAAACTGTAAAGATAAAGCACAATGAAAGTAATTGTTGTCTCATTACATCCATGTGCTGGAAAATACTTCCATGTCTGACTTTATGTGCCTGTTTAGTGATGTGCACTTTATTTTTCCATTGAGTTTACTGGTACTTTTTAAGTATATAGTACAGTTACACTTATCATTGTGATCTTGGACCTTTACATGACAGGTCTTGGTTCTCTTTTTTCCCTATACCCCTACCTTCACTTCACCCCCGTCCCCCTCCCCTATTTACAAAGGCTTTGTTTCCATTTTTTCCTTTTCTCATATTTTTTCTTTTCCCTTTTTTCCTTTCAACTACCCTTTACACTTCCCCTACACCTTTAGCCCTTTTCTTCCTATTTCACATTGTCAGTTATACAATTAGGATATTATTTACACTTTTGGTTTTTCAAACCAGAGAAACTATTTGGTATTTACACATGTGTGTCATATTTATTTCATTTACGAGTATGGCCTCTAAATGCATCCATTTTCCTATGAATGACTCTAGTTTCTCATTCTTTATGGCTAAGTAGTACTCCATTTTATAGAAAAACTACATCTTCTTTATCCAGTCTCCAACTGATGGGCAACTGGGCTGTTTCCAAGTTTTAGCTATTATAAACTGTGCTGCTATAAACATGGGTGTGCATATATCACTGTGGTATGACTCTTTTAATTCTTTTGGAAAGATACCCAGCCGAGGGATAGCTGGGTCAAATGGAACCTCTAGTCCTAGTTCTTTGTGATATCTTCATATTAATTTCCACGGTGGTTGCATTAGTCTGGACTCCCACCAAAAATGCAGCAAGGTTCCTTTCTCCCCACAACCCTGCTAATATTTGTTACTGATTGATTTCTTAATAGCAGCCAAGTAATGTGCACTTTAAATAAAGACATTCATTTGAACTAAACTCAGCTTGCGAGGCAGCTGGTGTACTTTTATAATCTAGAATTGGACTTAAGGGTTTCTTATTTTTTGAGATGGGATTTTGCTATTTTACTCAACACCCTCAAGCTTCAGCCTCCAGTATCTGGAACTACAACTTTTAGTCACTGTGCCCAGTACTGCCCTCAGTTTTTATTTTTTAAAGTCTAATTTATTATTATTATTATTATTATTATTTTATTATTATTTTGTATTGGAGCTCAAACTTGGGACCTTGAGCTTGTGAGGCAGGCAGCAGCACCACTGAGCTAAATCCTCAGCTGTTTTTATTTTTTGAGGGGTATATTATGGTTTATATCTAGATGTCCTCTCAAAGCCTGTGATCACAGGTAGGGATTTTGGGAGGTGACTCGATCATGGGGGCATAAGAGTCAATAGTGGTTTATTCCATTGGTCAGTTTATAGCTAAATATGATATTGGGAGGTGAAGGCCGGAGGGAGGTGAGTCACTAGGGGAGTGGCCTGGAAGGGTATATTTGCCTCCCTCCTCCCCTCATCTCTATTTCCTGCCTGCCATGCCATGAGCTGTTTTTCCTTTGCCCCACCCCTCTGCAGCCCAGTGAACTATGGACTGAAACCCCTACTAACTATGAGTCAAAATAAACCCTTCCTCCTTTAAATTATGCTGTTGGGATTTGTGTGCCAGCACTGAGGAAAGTAACCAAGACAGTAGGGTATAATTAAACCACTTTAACAAACGTTTTACTTGATTCTTGTTATTTCACAACTCAGCTAATAGACTGAGTGGGTTCTAGGCCCAAACTCTTGTTTTGACTTAGTAGATGTGCCATTTCTGAAGGTAAACAACTGTTAACTTTGTCTTTGTGAAAAGGCTATATGGTGCCGCTCTGTGCCCTCTATCAGGGCAAGTTTTGTTTCCTGGGCTCAGAATTTAAGTACACTACAAAATAGGCAGTTGGATAAGCTTCTGGAGTTTGCAATTTGAGGCAGCCCTGAGCGATTCTGCACTACCAACAGGGCCAGGCACTGAAATAACCTCAAATTCTCTAAAGAAAAATCACCCTGAGCTAGTCTGCCCCGTCCTTAAATTTCCAATCAGCCAGGTGCTTTCCTGCATTTTTACTTCTCTCAAATCCTCCTCCCTCCAATGACTTCTAGATCTTTAGTGATGGCTAGGTCTTGGAAACTACGTATGACGGGATAACTCTTAAGATCGTTGTATTCTTTTAGAAACTGTGTTACTGGTTCCTGAAGAGCCTACAGTGCACTTAGCCTGAAACTCTGCATGTGCAAACACCCCTGTAACTACCACTCGGATCAAGGAAAATAACGTTTCCACGTTCAACTGGGATTCCTTGAGCTTATTCCCACAGAACACGCCCCTATCCCTCAGAGCTAACCATTATTCTAACATCTCTCATCATTCCTAAATTTTGGAGGAAGTGGGTAGTGGTATGATTTGGCCCCTGTACTGCGGGGCCGGATGACACTCTGGGTCGCGTCCTCCCTACTAGAGCTCTTCCTTGCGAGATTCCCGGGTCCTCAGAGAGACAGCTCCGCCATCACCGGGGATCCTGACCAAACTGGTAGTTCTCTGAGGGCGCCCCGGGGTCCGCCAAAAGGCGAGCAGGGCTCCACGCAGGCAGCGCGGAGACGACACAATGGCTGCTCCGCGGATGCTCGCGACAGCCTTGCCCCGC